ACCGGGCAGGAAATTGCACCCGTGGTATCACACATACAATGGGGGATGCCTGGATAAATTGCCACGTCATAGATGCCTTTATGCGAACAGGTGTAAATATTTCGGCGAGTGTCTTACTTTCATTTTGGTTCTTTACGTGTTTCAGTCAACATGCATAACATAACCATTAGCGTTACCGAAGCACAATAAGTTGCCATCCGCGCCCTGTTTATCCACCAGGTGGGAATCAGTACGAATGCGGGGTTAGATGACAGCGGATTTGTTCCCGACTCTGGCCCTGACTTGGCAATAGAAAGGGACTTCCGAGAAAAAGAATGTAATTTCTGTTTTTGCCAGCCTTGCGTTACCACGATTGCTTGGGCAGTGGCCAATGTCCGTGTGATAATAATGCTCATAAGACGTTGGATGTACAAGAAATATTGGACGATGTTGGGACGCAGAAACGTTTGGAACGACGATCGATACATTGAATGTAAGCGTCGGTTGATGATTACCGATGATGTTGTTGTCACTCGGGGAAATCAGATATCAACTTTTCTGCTAGTACACCATGATTGCCAAAAAACAAACACGGGCCTTCCTTTTATTCCTCGGATCAAGTTTTTCCAAATGTGTGACATTATTACCCGATTGCCATTGTCTTCGTTGAATCCGCTACGTGATAATGAGAATAGCACTAGGAACTGTGTAAATGTTTGTGGAGATTAAATGACGCACCCTGTTTCAGCAGTTCAACGTCACGTGACTTTGAATGACAGCAGTTAATTATTCAAGCTTTGTAGCGCGCCCCTTTCCCCGGTTCGTGTTTTTGACATTTATCCGCCAAAATCTCAACTCGTACATTATTTATTGTCATGTTCAATACTATACATCCAATACTATACACAGTCACTGATATGATATTCATAGTCACATACATCCACTTTGACACGACATAATCGACCTGTAAGTTCGAGAAAACGCGTTTTACCGGAGCTTGGCTGGAGCTGTTTATTACAGCGTGACAAGCAAGGAAATAATTTCTATTGCTTATACCTGGGCCTTGAAAGCATTGCGTAGTTGCTAATATACAATTGGTACAAATCTATATATACAATTCTTGTAATACTAGTGTTTATAACGTCTACTTTAAACATGCACATTGTTGATTTACATCAGATAAGACAATGTTTTTTATCCATGTATTCATCGCTCTATTTGTCCTCAAAAATATCGTGACAATTCCGAAAAAAAAACAAATGTGATCATCTAACGAATAATCCT